GTTTGATACCAGGCTGGGCAACATAGTGAGACCCCATGTCTACAAAAAATAAAAAATTAGCTGGGTGTGGTGGTGCATGCCTGTAGTCTCAGCTACTTGGGAGGCTGAGGTAGGAGGATCTCTTGAGCCTGGGAAGCTGAGGCTGCAGTGAACTGTGACTGTGCCACTGCTCTCTATCCTGGGTAGCAGAGTGAGACCTATTTCTAAAAATAAAATAAAATAAATGTCAAAGACTAACAGAAGAGGAAATGCCCAGAGCTGGCAAACATCCAGTCAGATGGGCATCCTGGTATGCTCTACTATGCTTAGGGTGCCAGTGTTCCAACTCCAGTTTTCAGAAAGAGTCGTATCGTGTAACTGTTTGTAGAAATAAGGGTTTTAAGTTTCTTAGCATAACACACTGATCACCAACATTTCACATGTGCAGTTCCTTGGAGAACTGGAAATCATTAACTTTTAACTTTAAGTAAATGCAGATAGTAGAAGACCTACACTTTTACTTCTACAGCGCATAACAACTTCTCTATAAATATTCTCATTTTTTCCTAAATATAAATATCTGTTGAAGGAAATGGTTCTTTTCTTAAAAAGAACCACTGTGTACCACTTCATATAAACTTTATCATACGGGCAACATCAATAAAAACATGTGCCAAATTCATCTGCGTCTCACCTGTGTGGCAGTATCTTACAGGCTGAACTGTAGCATCACCTGAAGGAAATAGCATGGGCATTGCTCACTGTCAAGGACGTCTGATAATTGTGCTCATAGATGGAAATCACCCAACATCCACCAGCTCTACGCTTTAATTTCCCAAAGTTCCCCAGACTCTTCCAGTCGTGTCATCTGCATTGTGAGTTGCCTTGCCTGTCTAGACTTGACTTTTCCAACAGCTGAGACCTCACTGCTTCCTTCCCTGCACCACATCCTCCATATCATATACCTCCACTAGGTTCATTTTATACATACAGGCTTTCCATCAATGAATTCTGCCCAGAGGCTTCCACTGATCATATATCCCAACACAGAGAGGCATGCTTATTTTAAAAAGAGTGCATCCCTGCCAGCACTGAGGATTCCATGACTACACTCTATGGTTTTCTTACACGTGACAAGCTCTGCACAGTGACTAAAAGGAATGTCATCCTAATCACTGTCACCCTCCCCCCTCAGCAGAGGATTACTGAGAGCAGCATTCTCTTGCTTTAAGAAGTATGCCAAGTACAGAGGGGCCACGGGGCCTAACCAAAAAGAGAAACACTCCAAATTGTTCAGTTACACAGGACAAATCTAACTCTGCCCAGGTGGGAACTAGGGCTTGCTATCACTAGGACTTATTACAGGTCTCCACACCTAGCTGTCTCCCATTAGTACAAAAACTAAAGTGTCGGGGTGTGTGTGTGTGTGTGTGTGTGTGTGCGTGCGTGCGCGCGCACGCGCGCCTGTGTGCATGTCTACAAGAAGTTCTCCAAGAAAGACTTTTTTTTTTTTTTTGAGACAGAGTCTTGCTTTGTTGCCCAGGCTAGGGGGCAGTGGCACTATCTTGGCTCACTGCAACCTCCACCTCCCAGGTTCAAGTGATGTTCCTGCCTTAGCCTCCTGAGTAGCTGGGATTACAGGCATGCACCACCATGCCCAGCTAATTTTTGAATTTTCAGAAGAGATGGGGTTTCACCACTTTTGGCAAGGCTGGTCTTGAACTCCTGATGGCAGGCGATCCACTTGCCTCAGGCTACCAAAGTGCTGAGATTACAGGCATGAGCCACCACACCCAGCCCCAGGAAAGACTATTAAAGTAATTGAAGATTTTGAAAAGCTTATGGACATTGCACTATAATATAAACATCATGAAGCTTCATGTCTGCTTTATTCACTACTGTGTCCCCAGCTCCTAACAAATTGCCTGCACAGAGAAGGCACTCAGTAAGTGCTGACTAAATGCATGAATGATGCTTCAAAACCAAGAACCAAGTATGTCATTAATGTAATTATTGATGGACTGCATATATATATATATATATATATATATATATATATCTTACTTTTAAGAATCATAGATTACTAGAGTGTTAGGGACCCTCCTAAATCCTAAATCATCTAGTTAATCTCATAGGCTTCAAGTAGAGCTTCTCATAACTGTCAGATCTAGATGAGGCTCACTTTTAAAGGTCTGAAGGTAGTATAATTATCTCTTCTGATAATCTTATCCAGTGCCCAAAAAGCATTTGTGAAAGTTGATTATACAAATTGACTCATTCTTGTAATACTCAATTAAATCAGAGTCAAGGTGCTGGGGGACAAAACACTCAGGGCATACAGCACCAGCTCCAACAAGCGTTTTTTCTGCAAGCCCAGCTGCTAAAGGCTTGCTATGATTCTAAGACTGTTTTACACAGAACTGCTGAAATGACCTGCCGTGACTCTAAGACTAGTTTTACCTACCACCTCACTCACCAATCAGACCTTACCAGCTCCCAAAAGCTTCCACAGTGCCAATGAGCCTTCTTTCAAAACAATATATCACGTTTATTTTTCTAATAAAACCCCTATCTTCTCTTTGTTCTTCGAACATAACGAAGGCCACCCTGGTCAGTGTGTATTCTGCAAATTGCAATTCTGTGATTTGCTAATACAATGTTTAATTGAAAAATTCATTTCTATGTTGTATTTTGACTTCAACACCTTTGATGGGAAAGATGAACTTAGACAAAACTAATTTTCCACTACTTACTAGACAAGTTCAGGGTATGATACTGAAGTAGATTTCAGTGGGAGCTTTATATGTATATAAGAGAAAGACAGAAAAAGAAAGGAAGACAAAAAGAAAGAAGGAAGGAAGGAAGGGAGGGAGGGAGGGAGGGAGGGAAAGGGGAGGGAGTGGGAAGGTAGAAGGGGGGGGGGGGGGGAGGGAAGGAAAAACAAGACAAGGGAAGACAAGACAAGACAAAAATGAATGAACTGCTACTTATAGTGTGCAGTACCAGGAGCACCCGGTAGTAAATACGAGTTAATGAAAATGGCTGTGTTGTTAGACATCTTTTCCATGGAAGACATCGATTCCAGTCCCTCCTGGCTTGCTCAGCCTATCAACACAAATGCCACACAATTCCAGTTTTCAGACCATTATTTCAATTCGTCTCATTTAGCAGTAAGTGGTTAGTCAACGTTGAAAACCAGAAACAGGCAACGACTTCTCAGCATTTCCAAGAAAAAGAAAATTGAGCACAGAGCAAGGGCAAATGCTGTTTTATGATGCTTTAAAGTGGATACGTCAGTGTCCATAAGTTTAGCCTTAGTGAAAAACGGAAAATGTTATACTGATTTCTTCATATGTTGTTGAAAACGAAGACTCACAGAGCAAGAAGAACCCTTAAAAGATATCATGACCATCTGCCTGCTTAGAGGAACTGCCCTAAAATATTACCAAAAGAAAAGATTAGGAGCATACAAAGCAGGAGCTCCCTCAGCATTTCAGGAAAATCTTTTCCCACAGTGAAGAAATCTGATGTTTATTTTAGCCTTTAAGAATGGCAATAATTATTAAGCAAACCCATTTATATCAGATTTTCCATATTTGGGGAAACTCCTGGGTTAACTGTCTTTCCCCACTGCAAGGACAGAACCTAAATTCCCTGCCTCTCTTGCAGCTAGGCACCACGTGGTGGAAGGTACCAGAAGGCAGAGCTCTGTCCTCCAGTATAAGGCCTGCCACCAAGTACTCCAGTGGCCTGAGTGGTTCAGTCTCCTTCCTAGTCCATAGCTTCTCTGTAAGCAGAGGCAGAGGTGAGATAAGGGGTGGGCTAGATGTGCTCTAATTCCCTTCAAGCTCTGACATTCTCTAATTCTATACTGGGGAACAGCCAAATCCTTAAAGTAGGGCCCAGGGGCAAGTGTTATCTGTCCTATAAGGTGAAAATTTCTACTTTCAATCCCTTTCAAACATCCATTGTCAACAGCATGTTGGTCACTGGACAGCTGAACGCAAATCCGGCTGTTGTGACTACCTGTGATGGTTGCTGCAGAGCAAGGGTGAACTTCTACCTTATCCCATCACAGCAAGTCGAAGAGCAGCTAGGTGAGGTGCACCTCCTGCGTCTCCAGGCCTGAAAGCGTTAGTTCACGCATGCTGTGGGCACGGACACCTTGCTCTTGGCCTACCCCAGGCCATCACCAGCCTGGAGGGGCACGAAATGGAGCCAAGCAGCAGTCAAAAAGCTTTTATTCTGTGCAGATATAAAAAGTTAAGCGATAACTATTCTTCTGTGGAGAGGAATGCCACCTAAAGTGACCATCAAAAAGAATAAAATTGCCCCCCAGAAGTTCAGCCATTCATTTCATGCAGCCAATTTTTATCGAGGGGCTTGGTGAGTTCCACAAAACACACCTGCACCAGGTAACGGTATGTGTCTATTGTGGGCCAGGCATGTTTGAAAGCACTGTGCTAGAGATACCCAGGTTCAAACCCGAACAACTTCGCCTTGCCAAGCTTTGGTCTTTTCCACATCAGCACTTGAACATACATGAAACGCATATTTCTTCATTAAGAGAAGAAAGCTGCAATTTAAATTATTGGCAAAATCATCTCCCTAACAATAAAGTCTTTTTCCGTTGCTCTTCTGTTTTTCTTTTGTTGGTAGGAAAGCTCACATTTGCAGGCCCCTCCTCTAGGGCCAGGGGCTTGTATGGTTTGTTACTGGAAGATACTATTTGAGACTGATGAATAATCTCTTACAATGACAGCACTCTGACCCTCTCTAAAGCACCTGCCCCCACATCCTTGACTTGGCAGTTCTTTTTTTTTTGAGATGGAGTCTCCCTCTATTGCCCAGGATGGAGTGCAGTGGCACAATCTCAGCTCACTACAATCTCCACCTCCTGGGTTCAAGCGTTTCTCCTACCTCTGCCTCCCAAGTAGCTGGGACTATAGGTGCCCACCACCACACCTGGCTAGCTTTTGTATTTTTAGTAGAAATGGGGTTTCATCATATTGGCCAGGCTGGTCTTGAACTCCTGACCTTGTGATCTGCCCACCTCGGCCTCCCAAAGTGCTGGGATTACGAGCGTGAGTGACTTGGCATTTCTAAGCACTGGAGTAGGTGGGCACAGCACAGAGGCCAGGGCACCAGACGCCAGCGATGGGGCATATTCTAGACTGAAGCACTTTCCCTGGTGTGTTAATCTGGCCAACAGGCCTCTTCAAAGGCGTGGCTCTACCCAGAGTTCAGTCAATCAGCACATCAACCAAAGGTGACAGGGTCCCTGGCACACTGACACTGGGAATGTGGGTGAAGACATTTTTCTGGGGAAACTCTTCCCCAAAAGAATCCTGAGAAACTTGCAGATCACCTCTCTCCTGCTTAGGATAAAAAAGAAAAAAGAAAAAAAAAAAAAAAAGAAAAGAAAGAAAGAAAAATGGGGTAATGAGACAAAATGCCAGTTTTGCTCATCCTGCCACCTTCACTCTGTGTCTATGACTCTAAAGTGTGTTTACATCCAAAATGAACAAAAAAGAGGAGTGTGCAGAAATTTTCTACGTAGATACAACTAGCTTTAAAGACAAAAGTACCTAAAATCCTGATTTACAAAAGAAATGAATGACTAGGGAGAGAACAACTTGTTTCACAACACAGTTCTCTGCTTTATCAGAGGACTTCCTTTTTCTGAGCGCATACCACTTGTGAATTTAAAATAGGACTCAGAGGACATCAACCTGGCACATGACTTTTCAGGGCACGTTCTTACCCAAGACAGGGTATGTGCTAGAGAACTCAGCTGTGGACAGACGAAAGAAAGTAATTATCCAGTGTGTACAGGGCTACTTGGTACACAAACGTCCTGACCCACCTTTTGAATTCTGTATTGCCACAGTTTTATGTTGATTGTGTTCAAGAAAGTGATCCAAATACTCGAATTACTACCCAGGCTGTTACGGAGGGCTCCTGGAAGAAACTGAGAATTTAAGTACATTCAAGAGCTTTCCTAATACTTCGGCCTCTCTGCATACTTTTGAAACATTTTTCTTCAGTGAGACTCAGGGTGACCTCATAGCATTTGGAATATGTTACTACAATGAAACATAGCTGCAACACCAAACAAACATGAATGCAAGGCATCGGGAGACCTGGAGCCTCCGGGGAGAGGATCCCCTTAGAGACTAAGAATCAAAACATCCCATCATTAATCCTTAGCAACCTGTAAAGTAAAACTGCAGGATGAAGACACTGGGTCAGGTGTCAGTGGACCAGAGGTCAGGTCCCGGTCATGCTACAGTTCAACCCATGACATTAGCCAAGTCACTTCTTGGAGCTTTGGTTTCCTCTGCTGCAGGGATGAGAGAGCACTTTGTAAGCTAGATGGCATGACACAAGTGTAAGGTAGCTGTCTTGTTATCACAGGCACAGAGGCCCTAGCTAGGTGAGAAGAAGGCAAAGGTTTTACTGCTTTGAAATTCTGTTGTGCCAATATGTCATTTTCAAGGTGTGTTGCAACCATAAAGGGCAGCTGCCTGGGAGCCCTGAGGATGTGCCCCATAGTCTCAGGTATCTTGAGAGAGGCACCTGCCCTGGGGGGTTGGGAGGGACCGTGGCACTGCCGCCATGAGATCTCTTAATAGGGAATCGGAGGCTATTTAAGGACACTTACCAACCATTCTCAACTGTAATGTAGGGTAAATCAAGCACTTGTTTATCGAGTATTATAACCAGTCTTTTCAACCACTCTGAGAAATGGCAGAGGCAGGTCATTTCTGCCCAGATGAAGAAACAGGTAAACTGCTTCACCTTGCTGAGGTTGGTGAAGGGCATCTCAGGCTCCTGAGATGTCCTGACAGGTGTGTGTAACCCATGAAAGAGTGCCGGAAGTTCCATCCACAACTTCCTGTCCCCGCTTCTCTACTTCTTCCTCTTTTTCTCAACATTCCCAGCCCTCTCCAGCAGTCTGCAGCTGCTGCAGCCCTGACACATATCACTCTATCCTAGCAAGTCACACTGTGTCCTTCTGTAACACAAATTGGAACGGAATGTGAATCTCTTAATGCTGGCCCTTGACAGTGGGCTCTCCTGTCCTCTTTTATCCTTTTTAGACAGTTTCACATCTGATTAGAACTTCTCAGTGGGTAAAGGCCATGTTCTAGGCTTTGCTTCATAAATCCTAAAACACCTGCATGGGACTGGACACAAAGATGACATCCTGCGGAATTCCTTAAGGAGCAAAAAAGGCTGCTCTAAGAAGGATCTAAATAGGTATTTCTCCAGAGCAGATGTACAAGTAACCAGTGAAAATATGAAAAACATGCTCAACAACATTAGTCATTAGGGAAATGCAAACTAAAACTACACGGAGATACCATTTCGCATCCACTAGAATGGCTATCATAAAAAAGACAGGTATTAATAAGCGTTGGAGAGAACATGGAGAAACTGTAACTCTCATATATTGCTTGAAGAATGTAAAATGGTGCAGTCACTTTGGAAAACGGTCTGGGAGTTCCTCAAAAAGCGAAACATAGAGTTAACATACAACTCAGCAACTCCTAGGTATTGGCCCAAGAGAACTGCAGAACTACGTTCACACAGAAACTTGTACACGGGTGTTCACGGCAGCATTATTCACAATAACCCAAAAGTAGAAACAACCCATGTCCATCAGCTGATGAATAAAGAAACAAAATGTGGTATAATCTAAACAATGGACTATGACTTGTCCCTTTAAGGAAATGAAGTAGTGACACATGTTACAGCTTGGCTATTAAAACGTTAAGAAACAAGACACAAAAGCCACATACTACATTACTCCACTTAAATGAGGTATCAAGAATAGGCAAATTCACAGAGACAGAAAGCAGATTAGTGGTTGCCAGACTTTGGGAGCGGTGTAGAGAGTGACTGCTAATGGGTGTGGGATCTCTTTTGGGGAAAATGAACACGTTCTGGAATTAACGGTGAGGGTTGTAAATATACTAAACAGAATATATATATATTCTTATACTATATTGCGCTGGGCACGGTGGCTCACGCCTGTAATCCCAGCACTCTGGGAGGCTGAGGCAGGTGGATCACTTGAGGTAGGGAGTTTGAGACCAGCCTGGCCAACATGGGGAAACTCCATCTCTACTAAAAATACAAAAATTAGCCAGGAGTGGTGGTGGGTGCCTGCAGTTCCAGCTACTTGGGAGGCTGAGGCGAGAGAATCTCTTGAACCCAGGAGGTGGAGACTTTAGTGAGCCAAGGTTACACTACTGCACTCCAGCCTGGATGACAGAGCAAGGCTTCAACTCAAAAGAAAAAAAAAAAATTACTTAACTGTACACTTTAAAATGGTGAATTTTATTATTAAGATGGACTGTGAATCATATTTCAATAATAGTTATTAAAAAACAAAACAGAAAAAGGCTGGCTTGGAGCAGTGGTTCTCAAACTCGAGACGTGGCACACACTTGGAGAACGTGGCAAAACACAGGCTGCCGGGCCCCACCCCAGTTTCTGATTCAGGAGCTGTGGGTGGGGCTCAGGAATGTACATCTCTAACCAGTCCCGGGGTGCTGAAGGCTCTGTTGGCATGGAGCCACATTTTGAGAACCAGTGACCTAGCATAGAGCTTCTCCCAACTTCAGTGCCTGTGGTGGACACTGTGATGAGCTACCCACATCCCTGTCTAATGACAGTCTTGCAGCCGGCTGCTGGGAGTGCTGTCTATAGAGTTGAAAGGCCTGGCCATCCCTGCCACAGACAACTAAGAAGGCCAGCCTAGCTCTGCAGCTTCCCGTGTCATTAGCGACGACTGTCACTGGGCCTGTATTGCTGCTTGACTTCTTTCTCTACCTACCTATTCCTGTTCCTTCCTCCTCCGTCCCATAGGTATTAATCCAAAGGGCATGCCTTAATAAATATGCCACTGGCTAAACTCCATCTCAGAGCTGGTATCGTGGGAGAACCCCACCTGTCATAATGCATCTGAGAAATCTGGGGAACTTGTTAAAATGCAGATTCTTATTCTATAAATCAGGGGAGGGATCTGGAACCCAGGTTCAGCATTTCTAACAAGCTCCTTGGTGATGCCAACGCTGCTGACCCATGGTCCACACTTTGAGTGGTGAGGGTCTGGAGGACCTCAAAGTACTCCTCCAGCTTCACAAGGGGGAGAGTCTATGAGCCATCAGGTTGAGTGTAAAGGGAGAAAGATAACACATTTACTAGGCCATTAAAAGGTACTGAGATTACCCTGTCCTTGAGATCCAGGCCATGGAACTGGGTCGCAGGTGAGTGTGCTCAACATAGGCCTTTCAGGTGCCCCCTCGCTAATCCCCTGGGACAGAAGCCAAGATCAGCTTGAGTTTCTTTTTTATATGCTCTGTTGTTACAGTATGGCTTCAGGGAGTTATTTGGGCAGAAGTGAGTAATCTGCATTGTGAAACCAGCAGACAAGTGGCGACTGATACCCACTACACAGCCTGTTCAGGGAACTGAAGACTGGGTGGGAAGAAAGATGGAAAGGAAAGTAGAGGCAGGGTGGTGGCTGCCATCTTTTCCAGCATGCTTGCCCTCAGACAAACCTGGCATTCTAAGGGTGGTCAAGCCAGGTCAGGTCTTGTTTCCAAGTGGGATCATTTGACAAAGAGTTTGGAAACCTGTTTTCGACCTAAACCTGTTCCTAATTTTCTGGGAGTCCCATACCTTGCAACTCAGTTTTTCTATCTGTTCAGGCTGATTTTAGATAAATACATAGGTCACAGACTCACATTCTCAGCAGGTTACAAAAAGAAAAAAAAAAGGGAATACGGAACCAAATCTTAAAGATGTTATCACAGAAGGAAACTTTCACACCATCCCACCAAACACGCACTTGCCAGAAAAAGAATCTTGGGGTAGGCTGAGCCTTAGGCAACATTTCTGAGAGGACAGCAATCCTTGACCCCTACTCCCTCTTTTTTTAAACCTCATCTAGCTATTATAACAGTTGGCAAGTGTAGGAAGAATGGTGAATGCTTAGAGAAAAAGCAGCAATATGAAGTTGTGATCTTTAATAAACTCTTAGGAAAAGTCATGAAACTTGGCAATCTGTCATTCTTGAATGTTACAAGGCTCAAATTTCTATCCATTTTGTGTGTTCAAGCTTCTGCCTGTCGTACAATTTCATGGAAAATAAAAGGAGTGAATGTCTGCTATGCCTTGGGCAGAATACAAACAAAAAAGGAGTGGGTGCTCAATCCAGTAAGCCTGCACTTGAAACCCTGGTTCTGGAAGGCCACAGTTTTCTACACTTTTGCTAGATTTTCATGGTAGCAATGACAAAACGGGGCTAGGGGAGACAGGAAAAACCAGGGTAGGTAAGCCCTTAAAATTCTGGACAGTGACACTGGCCCACCAAGTCACTTCCACACTCTGTACTTAGGGACCTGCAAAGCACCTGCAAGGGCTGAGACTGGGAGGCACACCTAGAGCAAACGTCTTTCCATACCTGCTTTTTTCTCATGAACCTGGTGGATTTATGAATAAGCTCTGCAAACTTAAAAACCCATGCAGTATTCAAGATGCAATGTCCCATCAATGCCACTCGCTGTCTCTTTTGGAGTGACATGCAACTGTAATGGTGGTCCCTGAGCTTACTTGCAATATGCAAGCTCTCTGAAAAGGCAGTCCCTGATCATCCTGTTGAAAATCTAGACCTCGTGTAAGCAAGAAAAAGAAGTCAAGGTACAGAGTGGCATAAATATTGTTACTTGAAGTGCTAATTATCTACCAATGTACTCAAAACCTAGCGACTTTCAAACCTGCTGGAGCTTCTTATGGAAATAAACACACGCATCCCAACATAGGGTTAAAAGGATTCCCAGAAATCTACACCAAAAACACAAGTGAATTATCCTCCGAGCAGGGATTTCTCTCCAATTTCACTGCTTCCCACAAGGGGAACAATTTCTTGAGAACATAATAGTGAAGGAAACAATAAACCACCAAAGAGGAAAATAACATCTTTATAATTACAGATTAGTTCCCAAACAAATTGCACACCTACACACTCACTCTGCTTTAAAGCTGAATAACCTCGGTGAAGCTTGTCTATCCCCTTCAGCTATCAACATTTACAGCTTCACAGCTCAATCGCAAGATTTTCGATACAGAAACCCAGACTGCAAAAGCACTCTCAAATGATCCACTCATTTCATTCCTGAAGAACGTGGAAAACACGGCGACAGAAAGCACAAATCGGGCTTAATACCCCGGCAGGGGAGAGGGAGCTGTGCTGTTTCTAAAACAGTTTCATTGCGCCAGTTTCAGAGATTATCTCATAATTTCTAACCCATTCAGATTTTTATCAGTCAGGACTTAGCAGCTGAAAGTCTTGCTTGGCCCAAGCTGGTTCATCTCCTTATCAGGAATTCATCTAAGTTTGCATTGCTTGAACAAGGCTCCCACATTCATTTCAACTCATTGGTTACTTATCCATTAAATGGGTTTCTTAACCATCACACTGGTTATTTAATTCCTACCCCATGGCTCCCCCAAGAAATAAAAAGTGCACTATAATTATATAAACTCTTAATTAAACTGAAGAATTCAGTGTTGCCATTACCAGTCAGTAATTCCACTCAATTAGGACAATAGACTTCCATTTATTACTGAACTCCTAATTGCTACTCATTTTCCTGGTTAGTAATTGCCAGTCCTATCAGACAATGTGCTTAAAGAAAATTCTGCCATGAAATGATATTTCTCTCCACCACGGGAAAGGTGGAATCAGAGTCCTTACGTGGTCAGGAGTTGGGTCCTCTTCTCTAGCCCCGTGCGTCTCCAGGCTCGGGGGT